GAGAGAGAGAGAGAGAGAGAGAGAGAGAGAGTGTGTGTATGTGGGTGTAGGTGGAGGGAAGTGAGAGAGACGCAGGTTACCCGGGTGTTTACTTAATGACGAAGCATTCCGTGACGAAAAGACACCATCTATGTATTCCCATTCTTTTTTAAAATGCGGTCTGGGTGAAACGTATTCTTTTCTTATTAAGTTATCGACGGAAAGATTTCTTTTGAGTATAGAAAAAAATCTGACGCCAATTCTTATCATACGATTATGGAGTGGTCCGGGTTTTCCATAAATGCTCAGATCTTGCGTATACTGTGTTTTGTTATAGGATCCTTCATATAATCGACGTAGTTTAACGTTGTCATCTGTCAATATTCGTGGGTTTTTCAGAGAAAGTACAAAAATAAGACCCCCTTTTATTTCGGGCAGAACTGTGTAAATACAAAATATTTCATTCGTCGAAGTCGGTTACTATTTTAAGAAGAGGAAGAAGGAGATTTGGACCAATCGATGCCTCTTATCAAACTCTAGATCTACAACAGCATGCTTTATTTCCATTTTGGGAGAACTTCCGTAATGAGCAACCATTATGAGACAGAGTAGAATAGAGGGATAGGGATAGGGGTAGGGTTGTTGTTGTTTTTTTGGTTGATTTGTTTATTTTGTTGTTGTTGGTTGTTTGTTGTTTTGTTTTTTTTTTGTTTTTGTTTTTTAGATCGAAGTGTTTTACGGCCCTCGCAGCTGCAAAAGGCCATATGAACGCGCGAGACACATTAAATATTTTCAGTTGGTAGATCTAGAAAATTTTGAATTATGCTCGAGTGGCGGCCGAAGCGAACTCTCATTGATTTTGGGCTACCAATTGATCTTTAACGTGCGCAACTTGAACACGGAACCTCCGAGATTTTTCGCCCTTGTCCGTGGAGGCTAGGTGTAGGTCTTTCCTACCGTAAAATCAGGGGTTGGCTGAAAGACAATAGTAAGAAGGAGCCAAAGAGAAGCAGTAGAAAGGCTGCAGAAAGAGTCAGGAGCCCAGAATAGGGGGCAAAGATGGTGAGGGGGTGGGGGCAGAAAGTGGAAACGAAAGCAGACAACAAAACATTGCTAGAGAGCAGGAAAGGAGGTGAAAGGAGACCATTTAGAGAAGAAAAATTTCCTTCGCTACCCGGATTCGAACCCGGGACCTATAGAATGAGAGGCGAACACCTTAACCTCTAGGCCACGAGAGCCCCCTATCCGTTGCATGCCAGTGTGGGGGAGGTGTGGAGAGGGGGAGAGAACGCGACATGATGATATTATCTCTTCGTGTTATCTTTTCTCTTCTATTTTACTGCCTTTTTTTGTATCTTTATACCTACTTGTTTTTCTTGAATGGTGGGTGAGTGGTGGTGTGATTAAGATTGTTCTGTTTTGTTTGTTCTGTTTTTGTTTTGTTTTGTGGTGGGGGAGGGGGGGTTGTTGTTTGTTTTGTTGTAGTTTTTTTGGGGGGGTTGGTTTTTTGCTGTTGTTTTGTTTTGTTGTTTGTTTGTTTTTGTTTGTTGTTGTTTTTTGTCCCTTGGCCATGTCTATCAAATTGACGCCATCTGGTAGTGTAGAAAAAGGTGCGCATGATGATGTTAGGTGCATAATTCTTGTCACATGTCAGCCAAATTTATGATGATTTGTTAAAATTGTTATCAAGTTTTTCTTTCCACGTGGAATGTATGAGTGTGATTAAGAGATAAAAATAGAGACAGAAGGATGTGTCTCGTAACTTTAGGCTGTTACACATGAGGTGTAGGCAACCAATTTAGTTTACCAAATGCTCAACAATACAAACTTCCCTATAACTCCGATCCTGCGTAACCTATTTGCATTTTTTATAAAGCACCAAAGTGAGGGAAAATAAATGCTGTATGCAGTAAACTTACAGTTTCAATCTAAATATTGCAGTTTTATTCGAAATAGAATCTTTTTGTGCGGGGGACATCACTGCCACGAACTCTAGTACTGAATAGAACCTCTTTGTGT